CACATGAGGAACGTATTCCTTGGTTGATGGAAGACTTTTTGACCCGCTGCGAATGCGAAACCTGATCAGGCAGCCAGGGGGACTACCAGAAGTTCATGTCCCAGTATGCCTCGGATTTCCAAAAGTACATGCAAGGCCGGGGGAAGAGGTGCAAGAGCGAGATGCTCGAGAACGGTTGCGCCCTGCATTCCTTGCCTCATGTTTGGAGAATCGTCAAGCATTGTCAGGGATCTAGCAAAGTTTGCATTTCCGGTTGAGCACCGGGCCTTCCAACAGCGACCCGGGTTCCGCATGCGGATTCAGCGAGGCTCACCAAGTTCAGCATGGACAGGGCACGCAACTATGCCGACTCGACTTGCCTGTCGAGTCATAACAGGCAACAAAATCCAGACAAATCAGGTGATTAGGTGGCAGCATGTTGTCCATGGCCACGTTTGCATAAACCAGTTTTCTAGCACTCGAGTGATAAACCGGCAGTTCTGTGTTTGCAAGACTTGTTGATCCACCGATTCTTCTAGATTCCAGATGTTGATGTTGGGCTTGCACGCCTCTTTCCATCCCCGCCACGTGGTCGTAGGCAAGACAGGGAAGTTTGAAGTGAAGTGTGACGAAATGCAGCCACAGTAGTTGGAAAACTTGTCGGTACAATGTAGTGGACATGCAAGGCCAGGGCAGTGGAGCCGCTGGGGACTACCAGAAGTACATGTCGGACTATCAGCAGTACATGCAGGGACATGGAGGCGGCCAGGGATCAGCGCCTGGGGAATAGGCCTTTGTTCAACTGGCTGCAGACAAGGCGCATGAAGTGCTTGCGAACGTGTCAAGCAAGGTCAATCATGAAGTTGTTGCTTTCCACTCACTGCAGAAGAATCAACTACCCAGCTAGGTAAGATTCCCTTGTCGGTGTGAGTTGTAATGTGTGTGCTCTGGGCTTTTGCTTCTGCCGCATGCATAAGACCGCATGCCCGCCTATATGATCCTCGAAGAACAGTTTTCGATTGAGGCTGCAGGCTTGAATGCGCTGTCTGGTCGAGCATAAAGAAGCCAACCCCAACCCACATCTTCGGAAGTTGGGTTGACTGACAGGAAAGAAGATGTATTGTGGAGTGGGCGTGAGTGACATCAATTTGGTATGCCCTCTTCTAGCCACTGTGCTGTCGCTCATGCAGGCAGCCAGGGCGATTACCAGAAGTTCATGTCCCAGTACGCATCGGACTTCCAGAAGTACATGCAAGGTAGGATTAGTGAGACCCGCCAGGGCAAGCGGTTGGTAAGTCTGCGCTGGTGGGAATATATTGGCAAGCATTGGGTCAGTTTTGGATCAGGGAGTCAGAGCCGAAGCCGTAGTGATGTTAGGGTCAGAGACAGTACACTTTCTGTTCGGTGACCGTCTTGGAGGCCAGTTACACGAGAACGCTGCAAGTCCAGAGATTTACATGTGCCGCAGTCATTCGAGGCCAGGGCAAGGGCGGTGCAGGCGACTACCAGAAGTACATGTCTGACTTCCAGCAGTACATGAAGGGGCACGGAGGCAGGGTCGGCGCAAAAAGCAAGCAGGTGCTTGTCGATTGGACACTAGTCACAAGCCGTGCATGTGATCCGATCCAATGCGTGTTGCCAGACACACTGTGTGAGCTTCCGCATTTTACATCCCGTGTTGACGCCGTTGTTTTAAAGTTTAGTTTCCAAAAGTCTTGCAGAGGCAATGCCATGGCTTTGTATGTTTATCTGCTTTATGTGCCTTGTATCTTGACGACCTAAGGCTGTACGGCGAATGCTTCAGCTTGAAGAATCCAACGGGCCTGCACCCAGAACATGAACTTAAGAAGCAGTCGAAGAAACAGGCTTGCGGATTGATGCAGAGGGCTTGAAGCGACGCAGATGGGGCGACTGCAGTAGAAGGGCACCTGATGCTTGTCAGGAACTCTGCTGCAAATCTTCTTGCGCAGGCAGCCAGGGCGACTACAAGAAGTTCATGTCCCAGTATGCATCGGACTTTCAGAAGTACATGCAAGGCCGGGAGTAAGGAGTGCAAAGTAGGCTTGCATGCATTCTCTGTCTCGTCCATTGGGGTAGCTGCTGCATGGCTTTACGACTTGTGTTCTTGTGAAGTTGCACGGGGTATTTCGCTTAAGATGCAACGGGCTTGAGGTGGCATAGTTGAAGCCGAGTAGGTGTCGGCCTACTTGTTCTTCCCTTTGCTTGTCTGTCTGCCACCATAATTCGGTGCTGTGTCCTGTGTCTTCCGGGGCCTACCGTTGTTCAATTCCTGCGCTGTATGTCGTCAGTCGCAATGCAGCATGCGCAGATGTGTTTTCAAAACTGAAAACTGCTTCTGTGACGAATGTCAGGTCAGGGAACTGGTGGCGCGTCGGCGGGGGACTACCAGAAGTACATGTCTGACTTCCAGCAGTACATGAAAGGACAAGGCCGCGAGTAATTAGGGTCGGGGCGTGATCATGTCGAAGGCCCACACCGGACAACAGCTTACGACTGTGCTCTCGACGCCTTATGATCTTCATTGTTTTGATGTGCCAGAACATAGAATAGCTGTGGCATGGTCGGGCGAACGGATCAATCGCGGAGGGTTTGAAAAGCGAATTCAGCGTAGGTTCTCATCCGGTATTATGAACACACGTTTTTAGTCAAGGAACCAGGTTGCAGCTCTTGTTGATCAGGCAGCCAGGGGGACTACCAGAAGTTCATGTCCCAATATGCCTCGGATTTCCAAAAGTACATGCAAGGCCGGGGGGAAGAGGTGCAAGAGCGAGATGCTCGCAAACGGTTGCGCCCTGCATTCCTTGCCACATGTTTGGAGAATCGTCAAGCATTGTCAGGGATCTAGCAAAGTTTGCATTTCCGGTTGAGCACCGGGCCTTCCAACAGCGACCCGGGTTCCGCATGCGGATTCAGCGAGGCTCACCAAGTTCAGCATGGACAGGGCACGCAACTATGCCGACTCGACTTGCCTGTCGAGTCATAACAGGCAACAAAATCCAGACAAATCAGGTGATTAGGTGGCAGCATGTTGTCCATGGCCACGTTTGCATAAACCAGTTTTCTAGCACTCGAGTGATAGACCGGCAGTTCTGTGTTTGCAAGACTTGTTGATCCACCGATTCTTCTAGATTCCAGATGTTGATGTTGGGCTTGCACGCATCCCCGCCACGTGGTCGTAGGCAAGACCGGGAAGTTTGAAGTGAAGTGTGACGAAATGCAGCCACGGCAGTTGGAAAACTTGTTGGTAAAATCCCGTGAACGTATCCTTGGGGTGCAGTTGTCGGGTAGGGTGGCTTGAGCAGCTTTGTTTTGACACAGTTTCTGGCATTGCTCGATATGAAAGCCGAGCTTGCTCGTTGAAATCAAGTCTGTCCTGCCCGGTTTTTGGTTCCCATCGTTAGCGCTTCGTGTTCTCCGAGTTCTAGCTGTGCATGCGAGGCCAGGGCAAGGGAGCTGTGGGGGACTACCAGAAGTACATGTCTGACTTCCAGCAGTACATGAAGGGACAGGGAGGCAGCCAGGGCAGCTATGACAAGTACATGCAGTACAAGCAGTACATGCAGGGCCAGGGCAAAGATACTAAGGCTTCTAAGTCCGACCACAAGCACATCGCCCAAGGTTCGCACTCTCACAGCAAGCACGAGGCGAAGGACAAGAGCTCCCATTCCGAGGAGGAGGCCGCAGACTCCAAGGAGAAATCGAAGGAGGCGGCCACAGACAAGGATGCTCCTGCTGCCTTCGTTGCAGCCGAGGAAGCGGCCCCAAGAGAGAGCAATCATCTCTTGTTCGCTCCTGTCCTCCTTCTAGCAGTAGCTGCTTCGGCTTTCGTGTACATGCAGTACCAGAAGCGGTCCCTGTCGTCCCGGACAACGGGAGGGGACTACGTGCTTCAGCTGGAGCCCATGAATGTTTGAAGAGCCGACGCGGTTTCCGTTTCACACGTGCCTCTCGTTTCCAGCGCCGGACATCCTGGCCTAGAGCCACACCAGCCTAGAGCATTTGCGCGGATGTCGGTGTGCACCTCTTGACCACGAGCCAGCCGCAAGAGGTTGGGTGTGTGCTGTTAATGTTTGGTAGTTACGACAACTAGAAGTCCAGACTGAGTACGCGGGCGAGAGAGAGATAGAGAGAGAGAGAGCGCCAGAAGTCTTAACTGCAATCTCTTCGCCTCTTCCCGCAAGGGCTCGTGATCGACAGTCCTCTGAGTTCAGTGCTTCACTTGGGCCTCGGAGGCTTAAGCTGTGCAGGGTTGACATGTCCCTCGAGATCACAAGCAGCTCGACAACCACATCGCGGGAGACGGTGCTGTCCATGTCGCGCGGGATGCTGTTCAACCAATCATGCTGCCTGCGCCGGGGTAAGCATTGTCTGAAACATTTGGCCCGCATTGGAAGGGGTTGGTTGTCTAATTCTCTTGAGAACTCAAAAACTAAGTGATTCAGCTAGTGAGTCTCATGTCGCCGTGCCACAAAGGAGCTTTCAATAATTTGTGTCAATCAACCCACCACTTTTGAGCTGTGACCCGGTGATGGGCACAGAACTAATGCCTGCGGAAACTCTCAAAGCAAGTCATAGCCGTGGCTCAAGTAGAGCCGCGCTTGGACCCCACAGCATACGATCCGAAGCCTGACATCATGGTGGAGAGTTTCTGCAGGGCTGGGCAGCACATCAACATGGCTGCCTGGGCCAATTTGAGCAAACAGCCTCCTGCTGCAGGAGCTTTGGCCTTGCGCAAGTTGACGGTTGAAACATATGATGCGTGCCATGCGTGCCCCCTCACGCCGATTTCGCATGCTCAACAGCCGTTACGTTCTGGAAACCGGTGAATCATCTCTAAGCCCCATGCATCAAACCTTGATTGGGATTGTGCGAGGAGGCTCTTCTCGGAAACCTGAACGGGGCATCGCCAGTTGAATTAGATGACCGCGCAACACTTGACCCCCAAGCTCGAAGTCGCAAAGAGCCTACTAAATGGCTTCTGTCTGAGACTGTCTGAGAAGGCAGCGGCCGGCATTAGCCAATTTCCAGGCTTTGCTGGGGCCGGTGCCACTCTTGGCCTTCACTGCTCAAGAGACGTTGATACGGTTTCGGAGGGCGGGTTCGGGGTCCGAGGGTTTAAAGAGTCACAACTTCAGCGCAGGCAGAGCATAAGAAGCCATCCGCCCTAATTACAAGAGCATGCTTTGGATTCCCAGCTGATAATGGAATAGAGCCTGGGTTCAAAAGTGCTTTGGATGCCCGCTGTGTAAGTTTGAGAAGCGTCGGCGTGTGGCCTGGGGAGGGTCTTCGCGGACTGTTCTGGTCAGAGGTTAGTGAACAGTTAGCTTCGTCGGTACGGTTTCCAGACCTTCTCTGCGGTTGAGTTTCCGAGATGGTCGGTCTTGAGAGTATGTGCCCCTGAGAGGGTAAAACGGTGTCCAGAAAAGAATGCTTAAAGAGACGCATACTCCAGTCAGGCTTCCCTGTGCAGCGCACAAGCCTTCGAACTGTACTTGTTGGCTTTCGCTGCCGCAGTTGGACAGATACTTCTACGCTTCATCAGATATCATGGGATCGAATGAGGGTTCCCTTTTTTCTGCAAATTCCATGATGGGCTTCGTATGTTAAAATGCGTAGGCTGTGCGACGCTCGGTGCAACGGGAAGTACAGGTTGCCCGTAACCCAATCCTACCCCGAGCGCAATTAAGTGCCCCGCCGAATGCTATGGCCTGCCAAAACACACCCTGACTGTGACACTAGTCACTAGTCATCATTCAAGGACAAGCCATTACTTAGATTGAAATTTCGATAGCCATTACCTGTTGGCGGCCTCAGGTGCCCAACAGCCTGCACAACAGGCAGTGCCTGCACAGGCCGTCACGAACTCAGATCCGAGCGCTGAGTTTTGGGGCGGCTTCTGAAAGCTGAAAGTTGCAACTTGGGTTTGGTCCTCAAGAGGAGAAATCTCCACCCCGAGTCTGCTTTTGAAACTTGTGCAGCTCCTCGGACGAGGCCTCACAGGCGCTCGTCGGTCCAGTAGAGTGTGTGGGCCAGACCGCTCGGGACCCGGTGAATCTCCTTTGGACCCTTTGGGTTCGCGGTTTAAGCTTGGCGGAGGACTTCAGAGAGACTTCGTTCAAAAAGGTTCAAGGCTTTGAGATCCAGGCGGGCATGTGCAAGCCTGTGCAACAAAAGGGTTGAAGGCTTCAGGGTTTAAAGATGGTTCAGAGTTTGGGGTCTCGGCCGCGGAAGTTTCTGCCTGAGGATGTTTGCACGCTTTATGATGGGCTGAGGACAGGTGTAGAGCCTACCCTGGAGCATACTCATCGGAGAGGTATTCGTGTGGAAATCGTCACAGCCCCACCTTCGTCATAATGTTTGAAGATGGGCATCACCCTGCATCCTGCATCTACTCTTCGAGAGCTCTCCTTCGTTCATGCTTCGGCTGGGGTTTCGGAATTGCCAGATTAAGCCCTTCTTTTTTGTCCTTGTGTCTGGTCAAGCAAGCTGGTGGTTGGCCGGCGATTATTTTGCTTATGAAATAAAAACTCGCGATCGTGTGTTGCAACAACAGTTTCACGACTTTCAGCTGGTGAGCTAAGCTCCTTGGTGCTCTTGTTCGGGTGTCCTGACCTGAGCCGATTGTGCTGGGGTTGTTGGTTTTAATGCTTTGGTAAGGAGTCGTGCCCGTCATTTTTAAGTTTTCGCATAGCTGCGGGGTTGCTTACGTTGTTCTGGTATGGTTCGATCCGTAGGTTGCCGGCCGGGAGTCATGAGCCTCATCTGATGGGGGCGACCTTGCCTCGCGTGGTCCGTCTAGCTTCAAGGGTCTAAAGCCTAAACTGCTCAAGGCTCAGACACCTCAACGTTGGCTCCAAGATATGAGAGCGTTTTAAGCCCTTTCCTTTTTGTACCGAGGCACACGTGACGGTCAGTGGCTGCACGCACGGAACCGTCGGTGGCTCCTTGAGCTGCACTTTACAAACCTTGTAGCTGACACTGGCCACATACCTGGGCTGACTGAGTCTACGGTTAGACAGACAGCCGAGCCAATGTCATTCGGCAACATACACAAGCCGCAAGGTACATCTGCACAGCTGACGGCTCACTGCATCTCTTCCGCCTCGTTATTGACAAGAAACAAGCCTCGACATGTTGAGCTTGGGCATGGCCGCTCAACGCAGGCTTAGGTCTTAGGTCTTACGAACATCTCCTTCAAACTTGATTTCATGGCCACTTGTTTACCAGGTCCTACCAGTTCGCAACACAGCACACGAGGAGCAAGCATCATTCACATACCCGCATCAGCTCGCCTCTGCTTTCAAGTTTACCAAGTGTTGTCACTGATCGTGAGGGATTTCGCATCATCAGTATTTTCGGAGCTGCCTTTTTTCTTGCGGGTCGGCATCACTGTTGGCAAACACAGCGCAAAAGCGACGGCAGATGTATTCGCACATGGCAAGAAAACCAACAGCAACAGCGAACAGACGAAGAACAAGTTACATGTCACTAGCAGCCGGTGAGATGTTACTTTGCGTCTCAATGCCACGACGGCTACCACTGCCACGACCACGACCACGCCACCACCACCACCACCACCACGACGACTAGGAGCTTGCAAGCTCTGGGTTCCAGGAATACTTATTTCTTGAGTTCGAGTTTGAGGTTGAGTGTGAGCGAAAGTGTGAGCCTGCTGCTGCTGCTGCTGCTGCTGCTACTGCTACTACTGCTGCTTCTGCCACTGCTGCTGCTGTTGCTGCTGTTGCTGCTGCTGCTGTTGTTGCTGCTACTGCTATGACAACGGCCGACAGCCGACAGCATCGCTCTGCCCCGCTGGTACCTCGGCTCGCGCAACACATGTTTTCAATTTCAGTTTCTGGAGTTTCTGGCATGTGGAAAGAGACTGGACCTATAAACTACCAAGAATGGACAACATGAAAACTGTGTTCAACTTGTAAGTTCTGACCCAGCTGCGCCATGTTCCGTGCGTGCCTGGCAGTGTGCAGGGCTCCCCTTCGAATCCCCGCGCATCCAAGAAGGCACCTCCACCTCGCACATCTCCGCCATGCGAGCCTCATTGAGTTGATCAAGGGTAACCGAGAGGTGGACGTTGAGGCCGCCTTGCCTAGCGAGGCAGTGGACGGGGATGACATGGACCAATTCGGCTCCACCCCACTGATTCTGGCTGCACAGCGTGACTGGGCTTTCGTTGTCGGCGAGCTGCTGCGAAGGCCTGGAGTGGATCCGAACCACCAGAATCTCTTCGGTTCGACTGCCCTGATCTGTGCGGCCGCGAATGGCTACATCTCGACTCTTGAGGAGCTGCTGGGCGACCAGCGAGTGGATCTGGAGGTGAGCACCCGCTTGGGGCAGACGGCCCTTTTCAAGGCTGTGCTCTTCGGACACATGAACACAACCGAGCGGCTTCTGCAAGCAGGTGCCCAGACCAAGATTACCAACAAAATGGGCCAGACGCTCTTGGACGTGGTCCGGGAGCACCAGCGCTCCACGGTCAAAGAGCTACTCGCCCGCTTCGGCCAGGAGGCTGCCGAGGGGCCTGGCGGCTTAAAAGAGATGCGCGTTCACCTGAGGTCGGCCTGAGATGGGCGAGGACTGGCCCGCAGACGGCAGGTGTGCAGAAAAAGAGAGGGGCTTGGTTTGATTTAGGTACAGTAACGGTTACGAAATACATGAGCAAACTTACAAACAGATGAATGCACTCTAATGTAGATGAAGAAAGCTAAGGAAACACGTTCTCCGGGCATGTTTCCTAGATGCGTATCAGGTGTCAGGTTAGGACGGACCGAAGACTCAACAACCGAACAGACTGGCTCAAGAAAAACAAGTGCGTTCGCTGTACTTGTTGCAACTCCTTGTTAGAACACTTGTGTCTCTTGTGTTCTTCTAAGAAGTGAGCCAATAAATATTCATATGAATATCTATCTCTATAATCTAAGCTATATCGGTATTTGTATCTATATCTGTACCAGTACTTATCTCTATAGTCAATTTGTATATATATATATATATACATATGTGTATATACGAATATATGGTACCCCCCCACGGATCTACCATTTTCGTGTGTTTCAGAGCCCCACCACACGAAAATCGTAGATCCTTGAGGGGAGGGGCTAGCCGATGCACCATTTGGTGGTAGGGTGAACTCCGCCCGATCGAGTTCAATCGGGGCCGATTGAGTTCAATCGAATGCCGGATTGAAGATTGAAGATGTCGTTGAACAATTCTCCCCAAAAATCTTCAATCTTCAATCTGGCCCCCGATTGAGTTCAATCGGCCACGCTTGAGTTCCAGGGAACTCCATGAGGCGTTGTATCACGGATGGTACAAGGCATAGGCATAAACGTAAAAGTTGTATTATACAAAGTATTCTGTAACGTATAGTATAGGCAAAAAGGGTATTCAACAAGGTTCATAAACGGTCAGGGGGTTTCTATAATCTAGGGTTTTCCCCTCATTAAACCGTTATCTATAAAATATCCTACAAGGCATTCTATGGTGCATTCTACGGGTATTTTACAGAATGTTTCATATGATAGACATGGGTATGCTGTAATTGTAAGCTAGTCTGAAATTGTACTGCAGATGATATTCTATAAGGTCTATGAAGGGCATATTATGTAACGTGTGTTTTGGGCGCTGTATAGGGTACTCCATAACGCATTGTGCAAGGGATGCATCAACACAAACGTAAAACTTGTCTTATAGAAAGTATTCTATAACGTGATGTATAGGCTATAGGGCACTCAAGCAGGTACATAGAAGGTATATAGGGGATATTCTATAATGTACTACATAGGGTCATCTGTGCGAAATTGTTTGAGGTTTGTGGTATTCTCTAGATTATTTTCTTCGATTTCTGGATTATTGTTTGTAGAAATCCCTTACCCAATAAGCTGCTTTTGTATGACGGGTTCTCAGATCTTGGGCTCGTCCTGATTGTCCTCAAATATATCTCTTTTTTTGAAAGGTTATCTGTGGGTATTTTTACTTCCCAAATACCCATGGGGGTAAAAAGCTTAAACCTCCACAATAAGATTACCCGATAAGGGGCCAAAAGTTGAAAAGTTTGGTTTTGAGCCACTAAGTATTATATGGGTTCAGGGTATATCTGGAGAGTGTCAGACATTACGGGCCCCATATTTTCCAGTCAAAATGCTGTTTTCTAAGAGTTTTCATTACAAAAACTTACAATCGTCATAATTTGCATACTAGTGGTTTTCAAGCTTACTTAACCCTGTTGCTCTTGATGCCTGATATGGGAGATACTTTTCCAATCAGCATGGGATGCACTTGTGACTACCTTTCATTGTGGAGTCTCATGAAGACTATCCGATAAATCAATGCCACTTCAATCTTGTGGTTATTCTTTGTGTCTCATAGTATAATCTTGCAGATAAATGAGATACAATGCGTCTGCGAAACCGTGCATTTCTCCACCCTTGAATGATGTACAAGACCGGTCAATCTATATAACTTTTGCATATCAACGTAAAGAACCGCTTACATATCCCACCGGTTTTTGCAGGCCCCATCATGTGCATGGTAACATATGATTTTGGATATAGACGTCCAGCATATACTGTAGCATGACAAGTTGAGTTTGGCATCATACAGGCAGGTTGCCCAAACAGTTCCCACCGTCTCAAGCTGTATACATGCAGGCGATCAACTGGATCGTGTTACCGGATCCATTTGCATATGTACATATATACATATATGTACATAGATGTCTTTGCTACATTCAGTTTCGATACCGTTTTTCGTATGAATGCTAGCTTGTTTAGTGCAACCTCCTTCAAAGGCGTATTTATTGTTTGCGATTATTGTTGTGTAGCACATTTATGTGCGTAGGGACAACCGTCGAATCGACGTGGATGCTGCAGCCGCTGTCTGCTCCACGTCCCCCGACGATTTTCAGCTTTCCGGTAGATCCCTCCTGACGCCATGGCATACCAGTCCGCCGATGTCGTCGCGGCGCTCGACATGATCCGTCGAGCCGTCGCCTCCGGCGACGACCTCAGCCAGCTCTTCGGCGAGTGGTCTGGACTGGAACGGCGGGCCCTGGTATCGGCGATCAACAGTCCAGCCGCCGCGCCAGGGCCCGTCGTGTATGGCGATTCATCGAGGGCTACACCGGCGTCTTCCAGTGGAGCAGCAGCAGGGCCGGCGCCGCCAAACAACCCGTGCCCGGAACCCCCCGTCGACAGGCACCACGCGCCTCCTTCGGCGCACGCGGGGGTCTCCGGAGCACCGTCGTCCTCGGCCGACATGCCGGCGGCCGGCAAGCCATCGGGTGGGGGCTACCCTCAGAAGCCCACCCGCCCGGCGCCGTCGGTCCCGAAAGGCAGCCCGCCGGAGGTCTGGGACCAGGTGGGGTATCTCTGTCGGACCGACGCGGAGCTGGCCTACAAACACAATATCCCGACGGCCGAGGCATACTACCGGCGGTACCAGACGGTACTCCCGGATCGGATCACGCCGGCGACCGTGATCCCTGGGCCGCCGCCGCCGGCCCCGTCGGTGCCGATCGTCGACTACCAGGACCGCATCGCCGAGGAGCTCCGGCGGCAGTTCGAGGATGAGTCGCGACACCAGCGCACCGGCGGGCCGCCGGTGAAAGCCATGCCGGCCGCATCGGCACCGTCGCCGTCGCCGCCAGCACCGTCGGGGTCATTCCGCAGGGCACCTACACCAACGCCGCAAGAGATGTACCCCGACGCGGACCCGATCACCGGCGCCGGCTTCCCCATCCTTCCACGGCGGCCGGGGCAGAACGCCTCCCCCGCCGAGCTCGAGCGCCACCGGCGCGAGTACCGGCGTCTGGCCCATATCCGCCGGATGCTTTGCTCGCAGGAGTGGCGCGACCACGTCGAGCTGATGGGCAAGTCCGGCGTGAGGTCCGACGTCACAGTGCCGGAGACGCTCCGGCCCCTCACC